GTTTCAACTTAACCTGTAATAGTTTCTATCGTCTTATTTGCTTCTCTATCTGCCTTAACCGTATCTTTTAGATTTTTCCCAAACTTCTTCTATCCTATTTCAGATTTTGCGTTTATCTTGAAATTTATTCATGACCCTTCTTCACGGCCCATAGAAGGGTTTTAACTTGAACTGTTGTAGTTCTTATCACCTTATTCGCTACTCTATTTACCTTTACCGTATCTCTCACATTTTTCGCAATTTCTCCTATCCTATCTCAGCTTTTGCGTTTAACTTGAAATTCATTCATGGCCCTGCTTCAGGATTTCAGGGTTGATAGAAGTATGACTCTAGCAGCAAAACTGCGTCATCAATTTCAACAGTAATTGAAATATTGCCAATTATTGTTTTAGTGACTATGTATTTTCAACGCAATTTTGATTAGATCAAATAAAATTTAATTTATTTATTTAATTAGTTTATAATATTTATATATCACCCACAATTCTCAATCAAACATCTAACAAAGCTAAAAATAAACATACGAATTCATTAAGAATAAGAATTGTCATTATGACTCAAGTCGAGTCGAGTCAAGTCAAGTCAAGCCAGTGCAGCCATCAAAAGGCATTTACGTACTGGAATATCTAAGACCAACTATGTGTGGAAATCTCGGCATTCAGTTTCAATTGCAGCAACTCAAGCGGAGGAATGTAATTGAATCTATCAATTATTTACTTTGTGCATATTTCAAATGCATAAAGAGCCAAGCCGAGCCGAGCAGATGAGGTGAAGTATGACACTTAGTGGGTTTCTGTATGCACCCGCATGCATAAATCTTTAAGTTCATTTATAGATTTTAAAGTGACACCTCAAACGAAAAGGTTTATGAACTTCTTTCCAAAGCAAAGCATGTGGCAGTACAGAATTTTTTTTTCTGCGTTGGCACTTTGGCTGCAGACGCACAATTGCATGACAAAAATGCGTCACATTGAAATTTATTTCTTATTTCTTTTTTTAACAATATACCACCATTACAATCATTAATTAAATTTATTTAACATTAAAATAATTATTAGTTTATATAGTAAGCAGCACTCACCTTCATTGGAATCGTTGGCTCCAATTACACTTTCTCCGCCACTAGCCGACGCGTACCCGGTCGTTGTATCTTCATTTTGCAATAAACTTTGTTTTTCTGGATCAGCCATTGTAACTCAATTTAAACGACACAAATTAAACAAAACCAAAACTAAAATTAATTTAAAAAATTCTACAAAATCCCGCAATTGCACTGGAGCGTTTAATGTTCCTCTTTCTTTTCTAATCGTTTTTCGTTTGTTTTTATCTTCCTTGCAATCTTCCGGCTATTTTGGAAATTAAAGAGAATCACAGCTGCAAATGGTACAAAAATTATTTATCCAGAAAATGCGTTTAACTTTTTTATTCTATTATATTTCTTAAAATATATATTTAACAATTTAATAGCATTTAAATGAGCTTAAATCAAAACATTTCTATTTGCCTTGCACTCGAGGAAAACAACTCGTCATTAGAGCGAAACCCTCCCTTTTGCTCGAAACTTACTGCACAAATTTTCTTGCAAAACGAAAAGTAAATTTTCATTTTCCCTTTGTTGCATTTTACGTTCCTTTTATGCGTCTGCATATTGTTCGTATTGTTTTTATTTTTGATATTCACCCTTTTTCGTTTGTCATTAGTTTTCTATTTTCTTTGTTTCCTATCAATTATGATGAAATTATAAATCATTTTTCATGTGTAAAATAAACACTTCATGTAAATATTTTGCGCTCCAATTACACACAATTAATTAAATTCCATTTCTGTTATATTCCATCCTTTAAAAATTATTAAATTACCTTTTATTTATGGTATTAATTCCGCACCTAATTTCTAGTTTTCAGCAGAAAAATAGAATTGAGATGTTTCGCCGATTTTATAAAGATATAAACAAATGTCAAAATTAAGTGTTGCGATCGCCACCTGTACGTGAAAATTGCAGTTTTATATGTTCAGTGCAAATTTTTAATTTGAATGCGATTTTTGTTATGTTTACAGCCAGTTTTATAATTCACACCTGAGCGAATGTCTTTTGATTGGTAAATCTGGGGTAACATTTTTTGTCGAGATTCAATTTTAGTGTAATTTTCATTTTCGATTGCCAAATCTCGAGCCAAATGCGCAACACTCGAGATTAATTTATAGCACTCTACATATTTTACCAGAGTAGCAAGGTTACTCTGAAACTTACAGCTGTTTCATATGATTTTACAGATAAACAACTATGATTTGTTTTCACATGTCCCTAATTTGTTTATTTATATATTTAGCTGTCGTTATGACAAAAACGAATAAAATCAAATATAATAGTATATTTGGCTGCAAATACATTGTCATCTGACGAAATTTTAGTGTATCCTAAAAATGAACAATTGGGCAACAAAATTAGACAGTAAATTTAGATTGAAGTGTTCGAAGTTTAGGTGACTAAAATGTCGCATAAAATTTAAACAAATTTCACTTTAGTGTTATGTCGTTACTTAAGTGTCAAAATTTCGTTCTCAAATTATTGTACTTACGCAGCAAAATATGCCATTTATCATATGAAAATAAGCTCAGCAGGTTTGATATATGTAAGTGTAATTTTAACATTACAATAAAAATGTACGTTCAGCTCTTGCCAACATTAAGAAACTTTTAAAAGTAAAGTAAAAGTACTAATACTGTATTCCCAGTGCAGCTGAAGTAACTTTTGTTAATCATATTAAGATTTCGTCGTTTTCATTCGCATAAAATAATTATTGCATGTGAAAATTTACGCAAATTCATTTGTGTGACCCTTCTTTTTTATTGCTGACTAATTTTGTCCTACAAAAAACTCTATTAATATAATTATTTTATAGTTTAATACAAATACTTACATTATTCGTTCACAAATATATTTAAAAAATTAAAAAAAAGTTTGTACACATGGTGAAGTTAACTACAAGGAGATTTTTTTGTTAAAAATATTTGAAAAAACACACATAAGCAAAAAAGAGAACAAAATAAAAATACAACAGCCACTATTCTCAATATATAACATATCACACTTGTAAGCAAATATATGTTCAGACACACCTTAATTTTGTAAATATCTTAATTTCATTTTCGTTTCAGCACAATTAAGTTGATTTTTCTATATTAAATTCAGTTTTAAGGTTAGAACAAAATTTAGAAAAATGGCCTTAATTTCGTTAAAACGAAGGCTGCAATGCGTAAGATAAATTTTAAGTAATATATAGAACTAAAATAACGAAAAAGTAATATTTTGTTTTCAATAAATGTCAGTGAAGTTGACTTTCATAAAACCGGGAAAATATTTTGAAAGTAGTGCAAATTTTAAAATTTGAATATAGGGAAAAAAATTGTGACTGTTATAACTTTAAAATAGAGTTAAAAATAATGACACACATATCGGAAATCCACTAAAGCGAATAAAACTACTGATTGCCATACTTTATAGTTACAATAATTAATTTTTAAAATTTAGTTTTGAGCATGTAATTTTTAACATTCAATTGTAAGCAAAAGATTGTAAACAAAAACATATGATCTAATTAATTTGCAGAAGTATGAAAAATTTCCAAATTAATTTAATTTCATTTTAATGAAATTAAGGAAATTTGACTGTCTGAACATAGTATTAAGCGAGTAAGAAAATAAAAATATAAATGAATTATTACTAACTATTGAATAAACAAAAATTGTATTAAATTTAAATGCTAAACTGAGTTTATAAAATTTTTTAACAGCATTTTATGGTCTAATCGATAAACTTCTACTGCTCAAATGTGACAGACAAATTTATCTATAATATGCTATTAGTTTGCAGTTCACAACACCAAAATTCGGTTTTGTCCATCAGCAATAGAAACTTGTCTACTGTCAGCGATAGACATTTTAAAAATAATAAATTAATAATAATAAAATAAATATATAATAAACTTATATATTATTAATATAGGTATAATAAATATATACATATAGAGAATTATAGTATATATGGAAGTTAAGTCGTATTATATTTATGTTTCGTGTATATAAATTTCATATGTATCTACTATGAACATTTTTCTTTATTTATATATAACCATTAAATACTTTATTTATAATATTGTTTTAAATTATTGTATTAAATATGTGTACAATATATTTTGTTATTGCAAAAAAATATTTCAATATTTTTCGCGTGCACTGACTGAACGTGCCCGCAATTTAAATGCCAACGAATAATTATACTGGTTTTTCTGATTAGTTGGCAATATTATAGTATTGGCTTTTTCCCAAACAAAATAATTCTTGCTCATTTTTATACTTTTAAGAAAGTTTACAGTTTGTACATATATTATATAAAGATATTTTTTAAATTGTAAGTGCAACATTAAACAATTCTTTCTTTGGGGAAAATATTATTAAAAAATATTTGAAAATTGTTTTTGTTATGCTTTATAAAAAGACGATGATTTCATTTTGCCTTGAGCGCTGGCTAGGGTTGTTGAAGTGTTTTGTATTGTTGTTTGGCGTGTTGTTCACCTTAACTGCTTATTTACGGAAACGCAATAGTTTTGTGTTAGTGTCTAAATTGAAAATTATAAATAAAATGTAGAGTAAAAAAAATTGATTTCGTTATCAGTGGAGACGCCGCCGTAAGTCGCTGAAGGAAAAATATTATAAAATTTGTATTAAAGCCAACAAAATTAGAAAGCACATGTGAAAGCAGCTAAACAAAAACAAAATGAATTATTTCTAATGTGATTATTAACAATAATTACGAGTTAATTGATTTTTCTCACTTTGCAGAAAGTTAAATCAGAAAACAGAGCACAGAGTTAAATACAGTGACAAGAGATACGAAACGAATCTTTTTATCAATTTTATTACGCGAGAATTGTACAAAAGGAAAATAAACGAAAAAAAATCGAAATCGGTGTGACAGACAGACAGTCAACAGTAACAACATTGTAAGCAGCAGCAGTAGCAGAAAAACTTGAATTGAAAGCCACAGATATGGAGTCTCCACCTATGTTCAACAGCGTCGAAGATGAATGCCGATATTGGAAAGAACGTGCTAAACTTTATCACAAAGAGTATTTACTTCCGATTATTTGAAATCACACACATCAGTAATGAATTTTATTTAATTTTATTAAAAATAAAGGTGGACAGATGTAAAACAAGAATACGATGAATATGTAGAGCAATCAAGACAGATGGAAGCGGAAATGGATGCTACAATCGATCAAAAACTGGCTGTCATTAAGGATCTCAAAATGAAAGTTAATGTATTAGAAAAAGAAAATGAATCATTAAAGGTAAATTATAAAATTAAGTCAAATTTAAAAGCAAAAATTTTAATTATTTATAAACAATTATTTTATGCCATATAAAGGGGAGGATTGTTTTTATGCTAATGATTATATACATTAAGACGACGGTTTTCGGAAATTCTCATTTAAAATTCGCGCGCTGTATATTTTCCGATATTTTAAGTTTATGTAGTTTGGCAGCACTGTCCTTAATTACTATGCCAAAAATGAGCGCGATCTGTCAGACAGTTCGTTTACGGCAGCTGTTGAAACCAGTTCACCTCAGTAGGGCGTTGCGAAAAAAACAATGGAAAAAAATATTGAACAAAGAGTTTGCATCAAATTTTGTGTTTCGAACGAAATTTCGTGTGCAGAATCGTTGCGAATGCTACAAAAGGCTTATGGGGAATCAGTTTTATCGAAAACTCAAGTTTATGAGTGGTACAAAGCCTTCCAGGACGGTCGTACGACCGTCGAAGACATTTCGCAACGCACTACTGAGGTGAACTGGTTTCAACAGCTGCCGTAAACGAACTGTCTGACAGATCGAGCTCATTTTTGGCATAGTAATTAAGGACAGTGCTGCCAAACTACATAAACTTAAAATATCGAAAAATATACAGCGCGCGAATTTTAAATGAGAATGTTCCTAAACTTTTCAGTTTAATGTATATATAGATTTTTTGCCTTATTGTGCTTAAACTATAATATATACATAAGTCTGTTATGTTTAGTATATATAAAATTATCAGGTTGGTTTACCTTTACCTAATGGGGGAGTCGTTATCTTCTTCAGGGTTGATCGTTTACTGACTTTCTTGTCTATGTACGAACCAACGTTCAAGTGAACTTTCTTAGTACACAATGCCGCCACTCCAACCTTACACATGTTAAGTAAACATTAAGCAAAATCAAATCGAAATAAATCAAAGATAAAAAAATTGTTTAATTCTGTGGATGCTCACATTAATTTAGAATTGCACTCTCTTAAAATATGAAATATTATGCCATAAATAAGAGATGTTGGGCCTTAAAATATACTTCCGTGATAATAACCGAATAAGTTATATTTCAATAGAACACTAGTTACAATGGATCACCTAGTTTAGATGAAGTGGAGGGAGGAACAAATCCTCCTCAATTAGCTAAGAGATTTCATAATTCCTCGTAATAATGGATAGAAAAATGGTTATGTTAGAACTACTTGGAAGCATCTGCTCAATGTTAATACTGGAAATATTGCCGAGTGTGTTAAAGAAGGGGGCAACCAAAAGCTTAAGTTTGGTTCTAGACAAGCCTGGATATAGATACAATAGGTGTTCTGGTGTGTTTTCCTAGACATGTACTTCAGAAAATATTACAGAGTAGACCTAGCTTGGCCCCATGCCCCATGCTATAGACCAGTGCTCTATTAAAGCAGATGTTTGGGTACCTACTAAACTCCTTAGTTTGTGTATTTTGATACTCGAAGAAAAGATACTTAAACATTTGGTGTATTATTGTCCAAGTGTCAATGACCCACATTAAAATATATAAATATACTAACTTTAACTTGCTTCAAAACATCTCTTACATTATATCAGTGAAATTCTCACATTTATCTCACATATATGCTAGAATTCTTTCTAACATAAATAAATTCATCGGATAACTGAAAATTTGCTGAGTTACTGTCCAGCTTTATATTAATCCGGACTTAAACATATAGACACACTAATCTTTAACTTACTCCACAACTGGCTCTAAATAAATATTCAGCAAACACTCACGTATCTGTGCATTACGTTTGGTCAGTTTTGAAAATGGATAATTTGAGAATTGAGAGGTTTAATAGCTGTCTCTTTATCACGACGTACGTACATATTAGTCCATTTCTTTCGCACTAATGTTTACATCGACAGTAATTTGCAATAGAGTTTGATTGCTGACAGTTGATATCAAATGTAACGAGAACTGACATTCGCTATACTAGTTGCAGTTCTTCTTCTAAGCACGGTTGAGTAGAACACAGCTAAAAGGAGTTCGCCTATATCGTTCAGGACAGAGCGTCGCATTATTTGCGGGCAAAATTTGCCCTGGGCTCCAATGGAAGAGTCAAGATATTCGATGTTTTAGTTAGTTACTTCTTTCTATAAGGCAAACTTTTTGAGTTACACGATTTTTTCTAATTTTTTTATTACGCGTCGGATTTTATAAATTAATTTCATCTTTATTACCATTATTAATCGATCAGCTTAATAGTTATCTATCAGATGTAACAAATGTATAATACCAGCATCTAAATATGTTATAATGGACTATCAACCAGTACGTGTGCGGTTAGCGATTAGACGCGTTGAACTAATAATATCAAAATCTCAGTGTGTTTTAATCAGGTCTGTAAAGCGGTTCCAAATTGAATCAGTATTGAAGAGGAATTGTCGAAAAATGTGTGTTACTTTTTCGAAATACAAACTGTAGCATTGTAAATTCTGTCCGGAATCAATAGTAGAAAAGCTAGATGACCCCACAATTAAACATTATCAGTAATTTAAAGCATTCAAGCGTTTTATTAAGTGGTGTGTTGTCGTGGATTTAATTCAAGCTATATTTTAAGTTTTTAATTTAGCTTAATACAATTATATATGAACTATAATGAATTTAAATTTTATCTTTCTATAGTAGAAAAATTAAGTTATTATTGAACACAAAATATACGTGACAATTCCATAATTAATTTCCAATCGTTTTAAAATTGTACTATGATATCTTACCTGAGTAATTCATTGGATCGGTTTTTCGAACAAAGATTTAAAAAAAGCACGTCTTACATAATATGTGTACTGCTATATCAAAACATTATTTTCTTGTTTAATGGAATACATATTAAACGTAATATCTTAATCCAAGACATAGGGAAAATTATGTATAAATATGACGTGATGAGATTGGAAGGTTCGTGTGTTCAAACTTGATTCAATTATTTCCCATCCTTTTTTTTATGATAATCCCAAAAACCTTTCTATCCCATCTTTCACAAAAATTTTAAAGCTAGTTCTTAATTTAAAGATGATTTAAATATGTTAGCATATTTGCCAATATTTAGTTAAGTTAAATTCAGCCATCTGTCAGTAATAGTACACGAAATTTTATACTACTGCTTGAAGTGTTTAAGTGTATTCGAATTCGAACATATGGATTAAGCATATGAAATAATCGAAAGTATCGAACCTGTTTAAAGATGTTCGAGCTACTCGAATAACAAGTTTATTTTATCTTATTTTCGTTTTCTTTGATGCTCAACAGGTACAGTTCGAACTAGTT